AGGGAATACAGTGACTGACGTCCTTTTTGGTCGGTGCATGCAGACAAGTAAAATCGTGCGATGATTTCATAACTAGGCCATGGAGGCTACGGCCTATGCCTAGTAATAGTAGGAGGAGGCCCGGGCGGCCTGCCTGGCAGTAGGCCTACGTCTAAATGTGTTCCTCGAGTCTTTAAAATAGGTCTAGAATATTTCTATTAAACGTTCACTTTGTTGTGTTTATGAGGGTCCATTGATTCAATGGAATTCCTTAATTTTTCATACTTAATAATGAATTTGAAGTAACTTTCTTCGGGTTCTAATTAAGCTTGTTTTACGAAAGCAATTTTCAATTTCAATTCAATTTTCGCGGTGCGCCATGTATTCATAGTGGTGTCGAAAAAATAAGAATTTTTTTTTTGCACACGAACCTTAAAAAATCAAGCTGAGCGTCCAATAATAAAAAATTATTGGACGCTGGGGAATAGGCAAATAACATTGCGAGTTACAGTGATGACGTCACAATTGACTTATAATAAAAAATATAGGATGTGAAATATTTAATAAGATAAAATAAAAACAATCATAAAATAAAAACAAACAATCACAGATTTTGAAAAATATCAATTTATTTTTGTTGAGATAAGCCCTCATCCTGTAAGTGACGAGTGTAATTGCTGTTGGATGTGAGGAAAATAAGAATAAAACAAAATAAAATTATTACCGTTTAACAAAAATCAAGGCAAGAACAATACTGGTTGCCGCAGACAAACTTCCGACAACACCACCTACTATACCACCTGGAAATAATATACAAATATAAAAACATTAAGCCAATACCTGGTGTGCATGTATAAAAAAAATAGGCCATTGATTGGGTAATGAATGATTTATAAACTTGTCAGTAATAACTAATAGTCATCATCTTGGATACCATTAATTAAGTACCTCAATATAAACTTTTTAATCAATATTATAGGCGTTTTATATGTATATCTATTATGGATAATTATATATCAAAGTTTTTTTACAGAATTCATTGATAGCAGGGGCAGATCCAGAGAATTTCTGATGTTGGAGCACAAAATGAGGTTCATGTTGCTACAGCCACCTCAGCCCCACCATGGTTGGTGTAAATAAGTGGCAAATAATCGATCTCTTCTTTCACCCACTGCTGGATCACCACTGAATCCATGGGTGCACTCCTTTTTTTAGCCAGGCGATTTGCATAATAATGAACCATAACCAGGAAACACGTTTCAAAACATTGCTCGCAAAACATACGCTCGCTCACAGCGTACATAATTGAATGGTGATTGGTTATTTCGTCACCCGAAGTCAATGTAAGACCCCCCCCCCCGCAATGATTAAAGCCCGGCTTAGAAAAGTTAAACATAGGTGGCGCGCCAGGCCTAGTTACTATAGGAACACAGCTGGGCTTGAGGTAAGCCACCTAGTTCAGACTGGCAGTTGGATAAACCCGGTGAGTTGAGCCGGGTTTATCCACCTAGTCTGAACTAGGTCTAAGTCTAAGTTCCTTGTACATTTATTCTGACTTAGAACTGTAGAACTGGAATATTGAAAAGAACTGAACAAACTTCATTATAATATTTTTGTTAATGATAATTGCAATAATTATTGTCATGTATTTGGTGGGCTATATCATACCGCCATACAGGAAAAAACGTTCAGAAAACTGAAGACTTTACGTCCCGTTATGACAAAGACGATTCACTCAAACTTAGATCCATTATACGGACATTCTACATCCAAAGACACAAAAGCACCTAGCAAATTGCGTACCTATGCCAGACTCTGCATCGGTAGACACCTTACGAACATCAGAGAAATTACCGAAGCCTTTTTGAGTTTTGGCTGCTACCTACATATTTGGAAAAATAAATCAGTTTTACTACAATGAAACAGAAAATAGATAACTTTCAAACACATTTGATTTTGAGTATGTACAATCGTTTTTTAAGTACAGTCGATTTTCGACCATAGTCAATTATTGGGCACACTCGCATATTCAGGCAGAGCAGAATTTCAAAGCACATACAGTCGGATTTTATGTACAATCGATCTTCGGTTTGCATGCTCAGTGGAAAACCTAATATTGATAATTTTTAGAATTTATTATGTTTTTCATACCCTAAATTTAACTAATATATTTTAATGATATTGATCTATGGTTAAAATCCATTATTTTGTAGATTGTTTTTACTACATTTTGTTATCTGTATTTTTATATACAATGATTTTATTATCTTTTATTATCTAATTATTTGTTTTCTACAGAAAATGCACTATTTTATAATTATAATGTAATTGAATAATGCAATAATAATTGTACATCATAAGTTCATATTGATGTTTGTTTGCACTTGTGTACGTTTAAGCTAGAAACCTGCTTGTAAGAAAATCATATTAAATAATAAATATTTAAATTTGGTTTGCCGTGCAACACTGCACAACAAATATAGGCCTAGTAACAGTGCTCTAATAGGAACATGTGATGTAAAAAAAATATGGTACTTAGTGACCTTGTTTATTTGTGCCTTAAAAATTATTATTATAATTATTATTATTTAATATTATTATTATTAAAATAGTATCAAGCATTCTCTTCAAATAAAAGTTCCATTTTTTGGTTGTCATTTGTATGAAGAAATGTCTCTATAGACATTCTAAGTTGCAGCCACTTGCTAACAAGGCAAGTGCTATACCGCTGGACCACAGATTCCTAGTTCGGCATAGACCAAATGTAATCGCCAAACATTTTCTCTCATGCAACTGAGTTATACGCTTAGAGTGAATATTTAAGCCAACATTTAGCTAGAATATTGATAGTAAATGATATTTAAATTAGGTTTGCTGCGTACACTTACTGCCCACTTATTGACTATGAAGTTGACTTTTCTTTGGCAATAGTTGGCAATCAATCATTATCAATGAATTAAAAAAAAACAAAAAACAAAAAAAAAAAACAAAGCTATGCAAGGAATTCGTAATGACCAGAGGTAATTACCGTTACAGTGCAATCGTCAAGGAACACAGTAAATTTAGCAAATTAAAAAAGATTCACCCGAATTTTGTTAGCATGTATTTGACATCACTCCTATGAGACTCAATGGCTTAGCTACCTCTTCATGGGACACCACCGTTTACTGATGAAACTGTTCCTATTTTTGATGATGTTTTTGCTTATTTTATTCCGAACATGATTCTAACATATTTAAATGCACAACACCCATCAATGAGATTCAATTTGAAAAAATGGAGTGCAGTACCACAAAATATTATTCCTCATTGACATTCTTTTCTATAATCTTGATCATAACTCAGTAACAAGCATTTGTACTATATATATGTTTATATTTCTATTGCAAACCTGGACATTGTAGATAGTATTTGGCATTATGTTTCCATTAACTGTCAGTGAAGTCGCTGTTATATCCATATTGAACTCTAAATTCTGTAAATCACTATATACAAGCACATTGTATCCTAGTATTGTGCAAGGATTATCATCAGATAATGTCAATTCCAGTGTGATTGATGAAGACGTTGATGTTAAGGAACTAATGGTTGGTTTTCCAGGATCTGTGTGGATATCAATCAATAAACCAATCATGGAACTTATATAGCGCCATAATAATGATGATGATAATAATAATAATAATAATAACAGTATTATTATTATTCATTCTTATTAGTTATTAATATTATTACTAATTATTATTATTGTTATTATTAGTAGTTTGTAGTAAAAGTAGCAGCACCAGTAAGGTATGCATCAAGGTATTTTGTTCTAATTGGATTTCATTTGCTACAGTACACATCAAGAGAAAATGTTTGATATCTTCTTTGATAGTTTACTTACATAAAGAAATTTTGGTTATCTATTTATTCTAAGAGACGATTTTCTGATTTACCAATAGTGTATTTGATCTATCTTTAAAATCTAACGTCTAACCTAAAAAAAACAATTTTTATAGTTTTTTTTATGAAATTTTATCAATTATTCAACTGCGTGTGAATTTTAATTACCTTAGCCTTTCACATTTATATTTTTATATTATAGTTAATCATGTAGTTATGTTTAGTTTTCTGTGGCTACAGGTTTATGTCATGGTGATTTTGTTGCTTTTGGGGGCCTAAGGCACTTGTCTGAATGAATAAATTAAATTTTATTTGATTTTTTTAAACATAATTTATACTTTTAGATTCACTTTTAAATCGTTCCTAATTATAGACTACAGATTCTACAATAGTTGTTGTCTCTTCATTAGGTCCGCTTCATTTATCTTAAATGATAAAAAGCAATCAATCTCATCAAATGTGTCAATCTCTTGCGGAAATAAAATTAATAGATGTTTTAGTTACCACTTTATGAGTATTATTTACTTCCGCTGGCACACAGATTGAAACAATTTATTTTACTTAATTACAAATGGTTTACTCATCTCCTAAAATTGATTATTAGTGTTTTATTTCAAAGTGAATAGTATTATGTGTATAATATATTGTCAAGTATTGAATTAATGGCATTTGATAATTTAGAAACAACATACAATATAAAGGGAAGAAATGTAATAAAAAATACACTAAGTTAGAAAAATATTAACAATGTGTTTCAAATAATACGTTCTTTGCATTCGTATAATGAAAAAAATCTTACAGTCAACACCAGACATGAACTCCATATGATCAGTAATGCTGCTAACGTTCACATGCATTGCTGAAACTGAAAATGTGTACTGAGTACAAGGTACAATTCCGTCATCTATAAGAACTTCAGTTTTTGTTGTAGTTCCTTGGTGGATTCCTTCTGATAGTTGATAATGGTAACTCAAATTATTCTGGGTGCTGTTACAGGTAGCAGCATTCCATTTCATTAATAAAAACGTTCCTTCCAGTTTTGAATCTTTGGTGATTGAGGGCGCTGTTAAAAGACAACAATATTTATTTTATTATTATTATTATTCTCATTATTATTATTTTGATACAACGGCTCCAATAACAATGAAAATTTTTAATTACAATAAAGCCCTTACAGACAAAATGCTAAGTTAATATACATTTTAACCTCTACATTGCTATCACCTTCTTACTAAATTGATGATTTGTAGCAGAAAGAAACAAGTAGCTTTTGTGAGTATGTTGTCATCTGGTATATACATGAATTTTCTGTTTAATCTACCTAAGTAATTAATCTGATTTGTGGGGCATTAGCACTTTTGTGAGCTATTTGCTATAAAGCTTAAAATTTTGTTTGTCAAGTTGTACCAAACTTAAGTACAAAACCAAAAGAAATAATTGACCGATTTGTGGCCTGCTATAATGGCAACAGTTTGTCTATACAAACAATATATAATCATATAAACTAGACTTAATCAATCGTAATAATGTGTGATTTTGTGTGATTTTTTTTAATGGCTCCATCTTTTGCTAACTTATTTATGGGACAATTTGAGGCCAATTTCCTGTCCCTACAGCCCAAGAAACAAGATGTTTGGTTTCGTTACATTGATGATATCTTCATGATCTGGACCCATGGTG